TTAATGTTCTTAACCACTTGAGCGAATGTAGCAATCTCCCATTAGACTTAAAAGAAAGTCCCTCAAAGGCAACATTTTAAATTACTGTGACCTATCTGGGCGCGAGATTTCCTTTAGTGTTGTTTTGTAACCTTCATTTAAGCCGAGCACATTACACTGTGGGCCCTCCAGTACCACTGAGATGGGCGGATTGAATAATCTGCGCTTAAAGTTTGATAGCTGAGTCTGCGGCTGGTGCCTTTGTTGTGTGCACAGCGCAGCAAAAACAATTTTCATTTATTTAACCTGGCAGGTCAATTAACGCATATATTGGTTGGCTACAGCCTACACACAAGATTATTCACCTCAAGGGCTGAGAGCTAGGATTTAAAGCAAATATTTATAGGAGCAGATGGAGAGAGATAAATTGAACGTTGACGCCTGGCGATTGGGCGCGCCGCGGGGCGCTTTCATTTAATTAATTCTCTCGACTTACTTATTTACATCACCCGCAATCAAAAAATGATACTCTTAGCCCTAACCCATTCATATGACAGCTAATTGATATGTTGAAGTCCTTTACTTACACATGGCGCGAATTCACTGAGAACCCCCACGTAAACGGCCTGTATCACATAGCGCATTGCTTTCTTCAATTATTTCCAAATATGAAGACTTGAGCGCATACTGCCTCGCGAAAAGAAATGCTGCACCCAGCAAACTCTGCTCGATTTGCAATTGCTCCGGGTGCTTCTCAAATTAAAACTATTTCGCCTTGTTTTTAGGAAAAGTGTCAGTTGAGGGTAATTTTGTAGGAAATTGGAGGAAAAGCTGTGACAGTGTGCTTTAAGACTTGCAAACTATCATAACAATGAAAGCAAGCCATTTATACGGGAGGAATACGCGGGTTGGACACTAGGATGTTGGCTGCGGTGAGTGTCTGACTTTTCGTCCTCCGCTCTACAGGAAACAAAAACGCTCGGTTTAGACCTCATGCATGTCATGACCAAAGTGTGAGAGCCAAGCGGTCTTCAGTCTGGATATTGGTCAAAATAACCATCCGGTCAAACAAATATATGAGTAGCATGAAGCAGGAACAATAAAGGGGTGCGGCGGCTCATCCCCAGTTTGTGAAGTTTGAGTCGCGAGAGGCTAAACTTGGCTGATAAACTGTGATGCGTTTTCGAAGAGAAAGTCCCATATGAAGCACATATAGTTTTAAGGATATTATAAACAAAATCGAAAACATAATAACTATGCCGAACACGAAAACGGTCCCAACAGAGACAAAATGACATCACGAAGCTCACATCTGTCCATGCCCTCGACATGAAAACAGGTGACTTAAATAGACAAACCACACCCATGTGGACAATTTACCGGAAGTGCTCAACAAACAAATAAAAGTGACCGTGAAACAAATAATATAATAATACAAATAATGAAACTGGGCTAAGTAGCATGTATGGCACCTACAGGCGGGTGAAGCAAGTCCTGTCATACAACAGCCGGCTGACATACGTGTCACAGAAACTATAGAAGAGAGCAGCTTTCTTGCCCGGCAGATTGTGGACATCAAAGGAAAATAACCGATCCCACACGTTCTGGAATTGCAATCTCCTGCAATTCAATTTGACTGTTTGTTTCTGCAGCGGAGAACTGCTAAGTACAGGAACCTGCGCTCAGTGTCTGGACAGCCGGGCGCGGTTGGTGCAACCGACCACAAACAAACACGGGCAAAGCGGGTCAAGTTGGCAATCGAGGGCTCGTAACCGGGTGGCCGCCTCCGGCCGAACAAAAAGGCACAGACGGCGGGCCTTGTCCTGACGCGGTGGCGGCCCCACACCCTGCCCGGCCTGCCCCGCCAGCCCCCAAGCCCGCCTCAACGCCAGCGCATGTCCCCCAACGAGGCCAAATACAACTGGTCTCTTCATCCACTGCCCAGGTACGGGAGCACAACTCTTTCTATGTTATAATCTGATGAATAAATGTCCACTGGCCAACTCAGTGGACATTTTTAAACGACAGCTAAAGACACATCTTTTTAGATTAGCAACCCCCCACTTTAAATGTTATTTTAGTCTTTATTATTTACCTACCTTTATGTTGTTTTATTCGTTTTATATGTTTTAATATTTTTATTTTTGTTGTACCTATATGTTCACTTTGTTTTGTGGGGTTTTATATTATATTTAATATTTTATATTGTTGCATCGACTCAGTTGTCTTGTGTCTTATCTGTCAGAGAGAAACATTATTTTATTTTAATTATCATACATTTGACCTCCTTTCTTTCTTAACAAATAATCTGAGGGGAATTTCTTGTTGTTTGTTTTTAACTTGTGATGTCATTTTGTAAAGCACTTTGAGCTGCACGTGTTGTATGAAACGTGCTATATAATAAAGCTTTATTATTATTATTATTTCTGTGGACACATTACACTAAAAGTTAGACTTGAGCAATCAATTGAAATCCCCCCCGTGTTGGCCCTGATTTTTCTGACAAAAGCTTTGTTTTTGGGTCAGACCCAATCTAGTTCAAGCAGAGAATTGGGGCGGCTCTGTGCGAGAGTCTTTTAAATAGTAATCGCTTACTGAAAATATATAAACGTATTGTTGAGGAAAGTGTTTTTTTAAAGAAAATATATTTTGCTTTTCCCCAGCAATTTGGTACTGCTCTTTCATAACAAAGGTAAACCTATAGAAAAAAATGAGAGTAGCAGTGACCGAGATATCTTGACATTTACGTTTAAGTGTGGGTCAGCGGGAACAGGATCCTTCATGTCCTAAATCCAACTCAATAGCGCCTTTCTTCAGAGCCCTCTGCCCCCTCGCTGCCATCTCTTTCTAACACCACATGTCCACTCTGTACTTCAGGCTTATTGTTGAGGAAGAAAGGCTTCCTTCAGAGCCAAATTAACATTATACAACCGTTTTCTCCGGCTGAATACTAATCCTCATGATGATGCTCTAAGTGCCTGTATTACAAAATATAAAAACTACTCCAACAACCAATAGGTCTGAAATGTTTGCCCACTCACAGGGATTGTTTTACTCGTTCATTAAAATCTAAAACTAACAGAAAACGTATGCCTTGCTAAGCTCCCCTTTTGGTCAGCTCCACAACTTCATGTAAAAACATTATTTAAAGGGGGCATATTGTGCTTTTTGGAGTTTTCCCTTTCCTGTTGTGTGTTTTATAATATTGATTGGTGCATGTAAATGTTCTGCAAAGGATGAGAACCCTGTGTTCCCTCCAAAGGGAGTTTCCCTCCCACAAACTCCCCCCTAAAACGCCTCGATTAGACTCCTTTGTTTACTTACATGACATAATGACATCACTATGTAACACCAACGCTTCTATTGGCTAGCGTTCCAACACATTGTGCGTGATAGGCTAAGGGGCGGGACATCTCCAAGCGGTTGACCAATCACAACAGAGCCGGCCAGCTAACCAATCAGAGCAGACTGGACTCTGGTTTCAGACAGAGGGTGAAAAGAGGTGCTGCAGCACAGGCAGTATGAGAACAATAAAGAGCTTTTGAACATTAAAGCATGGAGACACGTCACAGGAGAGACACAAAATACAAATATGGGTAATCAGATAAAGGATACAGCTAAATACGGTACCTGATGAGAAGGGAAAACGTTTTTTGGCCGCTAACTAAGAAAGTATACCACTAGACCTATAACGTTTTGTTATTTTGAGTCAGTTTGAGAGTAGGCATCTTTTGTTAATTAAATACTCTTTTGACTGCTTTTGATATTTTTTTGGATTGTGTGTTGTCGTCGATTCTCGTAAGATTTGGAAGCCCCTCAAAACCTAGAAGGCATGGGGAACATCAAAGTAAAGTTATTTGTCACACGATGTCTCCGCATGCAGCACCAACAGACAGTTCAGGAACAGATCCCAGACTGCAAATTACTTTCTGTACTCGCAAATTAAAATACAAATTAATTCATGTTTTGGACCTGGGGCTGTTTACTTAAAAAAATGTTTTTGGCGTGTGATGTTCATGCAGTATGTGCTCTGTTTCCTCCCTGGCAGCCTGTCAGTGTAACGGTCACAGCCAGTGTGTCAACGAGAGCGTGTGTGAGAAGTGCGAGGACCTGACAACCGGCCGGCACTGCGAGAGCTGCATCTCCGGCTTCTACGGAGACCCCACCAACGGGGGCAACTGCCAGCGTGAGTACCTGTGGGTCGGCTCTGAATCAGGCCGTCGGTCGGCTCTGAGCACAGCTTCATTTAACTTGTCAGTGTTTTCACAATTCAGTTTTATAGCCGCACAGTAAAGCGGTCCCGTGGGATATTTAAGATTTACTCGGGTCTGCAGCTAATGCTGACATCGAGTCGATACGACAACAAATCAATCATCCTTTACTTCGATGGCTTAATTTATCGAAGCAATGTATCACAGCCAACGTACGTTTTTCCTCTGTGTTTTGCGCCCTAATTCCTGGTGTTGTTTTAGAATATATATTTAAGTTGTTCTGCATCAGCAATAAACCAGGAAATGTTATTCATTCTTTGTTTATGCTTCATCATTACTTGCAGCAGGGACATTAAAGCATGTTTTCCTTAACCTTATTTAAATAAGTTTTACTCAGGAGGCCTCATGAGCATAAGCAAACACATGCATAATCAATACCTTAAGATGGAGATGATGAATAAACCAAAATGATACAACTGAGGCATACAATCATAATATCCAGCAGCTGTGGCCCATTGTTACAAAGACTTCTCCAGCTGTTAATATCACGCGGCTCAGCCATCATTTAAGATTGATTTAATGCCAAGGATGGCAAACACTAACATCGAGACAGGAGTTTTGAAAGTGGTCCTCCAAATCACCACACCTAACATTTGGCATCTGTTGACGGATACTGAAACTGTCCCATGGGACGTTAAAGTCACCTCAGAGCTTGAGTGGGAAATGCAGCGTTTAAAGTTGTTTTAACCTCTGTGCGCAGATTTGGCGCTGGGCCTAAACGACTGGATATTGGAGCACTATTTTGTATTTCTACCTTGTCCTTTGCTTGATCAATGAGACTGTTCACATTCAGTAAATGCAGAGTTTACAACTCATACAAAAGCTTAGATTTGGATGCTTCTTTTTCAAACATGTTCACATCTTATGAAACATGACATCTACGCCTCCTATTCTTATCCAGTGAGAGGGATAATTCCTCTGTTGCTCTCCCTCAGGTTTTGTTTATTCCCCCCCACCACACACACACACACACACACACACACACACACACACACACACACACACACACACACACACACACACACACACACACACACACATGCTGTACAGTATGTAGAGCCCCCTAAGACAAATGTGTCATTTGTGATAAAGGGATATATAGATCAAATTAGATTTTTGTTCACATAAGTGTACCCTTTCCTTTCACAAGAGTCGATATATCACCCTCGACATAATATTATACCTTCACGATTCACTAGCAGTCTGTTATTTAGATTGATAGCAGTCATTCAATGTAAAAAAGGAATGGTATTGCTTTACAGAGGCACTTAAAGTTTTATGTTTCATGTCTTTTGTTCAGCCTGTAAGTGCAACGGCCACGCCAGCATGTGCAACCCCAACAACGGGAAGTGCTTCTGCACCACCAAGGGCATCAAAGGAGATCGCTGCCACCTGTGAGTTTCAAATGTTCCTTTTTGCTGAATGATATCTTAATTATACCACCTGCAATGAACTACTGGGTAGGAGAATAGTCCGTTTTTCCAGCACATGCAGTAAAGAACTGAACAGTGAGTTTTCCCAGAATTAAAATCCAATTTAGATTCTTAACTGAGGATTAAAATTATTACCCATAATGTGGTCATGAGTTTGTTGAATGGTGGTTTTAAGCTACTGTAGAAGCCACAAACAAATATGATATCAACCTCCTTTTTTTGCTGTGTCATGGACAATCACTACACTACCCATAATCCCAATGTGTGACAGACATGCCACTGTTCACATAGAAATCATTACCACGAATAAGGGTAGGTTTCAAGAGTCTGCTCCGTGGTCTGTTCCTGGATTTCAAACCTGACCATCTTTGGTTTGGAAAACTTTAATTTATATCATGAAAATAGTTTAGTGATATGGGTTTCCCGAAAACATGTTTCTTTTCAAGATTTTCAAGGGTCAACGAGTGGCTTTTTGCAGAGGTTAATAAGATGAGTAGTTTCTTTACTCTTAAAATAATTATCCACGCAGTCTTTTACCTTAGTTTTTCATTTTCTATGTTATAAAAGTATTGAAAAAAGTTCAATGCTAAGTCTCGCAAGGACTTTATGTAACGTCAATGGAGTAAATGAATGGGAAATACAGCTTTATAAAGTTGGTTGTTGTTGCTTAAACTTGTATGCTGTATGGATTTGCACATGTTTTCAAATAACTTGTATTTATTCAAAGCTAATGAACCAATTGAAATTCAAGGATTTTGTTTAGAAAACACATTTTTAAAATAAACCTTAAAGCTAGCATGTTAATATGTTTGAAAGAAAGGCCTAATACCCTGCTTGTCCTTTATCTCTTGTTTTAGCCTTTCTGTAATCACAGCTGTTCATTAGTTTGAGCCGCACTAATCTTATCTGTGGCCTTCATTACCATAGGGCTTTCCAAAACCCATTAAAACTTGAGATACAATGCAGATCCGTGTATGAAAATTAGTCTATTTTTGTCAAAAGAAAGTCTCTGTTAGCGACGTCTGCCAGCTCCATTTCTTTCATTATTTTTCTTTTATCTGCTTCGTTTGCATTGTGGTTTTCCTGCAGCAGACTGTAGGTTCCAACTGTGTGTGTGTGTGTGTGTGTCTGTGTGTATGTTTGTGTGTTCTCAGCCCTGTTTGGGATGCATGGATTTCCTCCTGCTTAGTTTTTTGTTTTGTTTTATCAGCAATTAAATCGTTTTAATTCACCTTTCTTTTCCCCTCCCTCTTTTTTCATTCCACCCACATTTTTGCTAATTTCCCTTCGTTTATTGTCCACCTCTCTCTTTCAGGTGTGAGGTTGAGAATCGTTACCAAGGCAACCCCCTTAAAGGAACATGTTACTGTAAGTGGAATTCCAATTAGTCCTCTCCCTTGTTCCGGTCGATACCAAGACAGTTACTGTACATGGCTCTTAAATCAAAGTAGGTCTCAAGTAGTTTGATGGAAAGAAAGGAAAGTGAGACACAAATGAAAGTGATTTGCAGAAGAATGGAGAAGAGAATATGACGGACCATGTCTCTCTTTTTTTCCCCGCTGTGATGACAGTCATTTTCTCCAGAGACTGCAGTACAGCAGATCAGTCTCCTGTCATTATTATTCTTGTCAAATATGATTATGTACCAGAGAATATGAGAATGCAGAGGGACCATGGGATTTAAATAGCTCTACTTTTTTCTGATAATCTAAATGGTCTTCAAACTAAATTGTCTCCTTTTTTATCAACATAATAATGTTATTTAAGAACATGAAGGAGCTATCAATAATTTAAGTTGACAAAATCATACTTTTTTTGTGATGTTTTCTCTTTAGTCTGCTTTAAATGAACAGGCATTTATATTAGAAATGTGAATTCAATTTAATTTGTGTTTATTGATGAAATCATCAAATGTCTTAGTTGTTCGTAGGCGTTGAGAAAAGGTCATGCAAACATATAAAGCTAAAACGTTTAAATGATTTGAAAAATATATCATTCAAATGTAATGTGTAAACAATGCAATTAAAATAATTTGAAAACGTAGTTAACTAAATACATGTTTTAGTATTAGCATAGGCGTTAAGAAAATGCAAGGAGAGAAAAGTATTACAAATAAATAAACTGAGAGCAGTTTAAATCTTGGTTTGGTAAAAGTTGTCGAATTTTCAAATATAATTGTCAATTACATTACATTTTTAAATATATAATCTCTATAATCAAAAATAAATAATCAACAGAAAGTACAGTTAAGTTATTTTTCTGTGGGTCTATGAAGTCTGGAAATTAAAGTGGATTTTAGTTTCCGAAATATAAAAGGTGTAAAAAAGAAAGTAGACGGGAACATTTGACACACAAAGAGAATGTATTTAATCCAAGCATGGTTTTTCTTTAATTTTGTTTGTAAACTAGTCAACTTTTTATAAATGATCATTATTATCTGGTGACAGTGATCTCCAGCTGTTGTTGAATGGCTGCTTGAACACAGTCTCTTATTACCTTCATCACAGACAACACACACTATCATCTGGTGGTCCATCTAAGAAAGTGCATGTTCTTGTCTGACTTTGAAACTAGCCTTTATTGAGTTTTCCTTCTCCTTCTTCTTTGGCAATCCCCCCCCAACGCTCCNTTTGCACTTTCTAGTTAAACACACAAGTGCTGTGTGCAGAACTGGAGAACTGGGAATTTCAAGTGCTTACATCGATGCAGTTTGAAATACAGTTAACTGTTTTTTACCTGTGGTTTATTGCCATGGTATAGGCATAATAATGCACCTTGTAGTGTCCTATAATAATAATAATAATAATAATAATAATAAAAAATTATATTTCTATAGCGCATTTCTTGAACCCAAAGACACTTTACATTATGAGGGAGGGTAGACAAACAAGGACAGGCAAAACCAAACAAAACCCTGATATAGAGAATGATGGACTCTTATATTGGATCACAGACAGCTCACTTGGTATCCTACCGTCAACATATTTGGAAAATGCACTGTAAGTATATCTTACTGAAACATTGTGAATTTGATATTTGATCAATTCTAACTCTGATCACAACACTGCTCTACTCAACTGCATTACTACCAGTGCTTTCAATGTGGAGTAGAATATAAATCAACCATTATAGCTTTGTACTCGCCTGCCTACATATGAATTTTTCAGGATATGTCTGAGTAGTTAGTTCTTGAGTATGTTTTCAGCTTGATAAAGGATGAATAACTTCAGCATCAATATTAGATTTGAAGCAGTGAGTGAGTGCACGGGGTTTTTTGGGCCTGGATTGTGTGCCCCCCCGATCACTCCTGGAAGTGATTTGACTGGTTGCCCCGAGCAAACTCCTTCCCCCTGCCCTCCTCCTGCGGCGGAGAAAAAGCCTGCCTCCATGCCCTGCCTTGTGAGGGCTTTTAGTTTCTCTCAGCTTCAGAGCTCCAGCTGCTGGCAGCCAGCCTCAAGAGATCTCCAGCAGAACACAGAGCTGAGTTCAGGGAGTCCTCTCCCCTCTCTGCCTCCTCTGGTCCTCCTACCCTTTTGCCTTGCTGGGTGGGATCAAATAGAGGATCCCTGAAACTCAAGCACGTAGGTCTGCTAGCGTGTCATTTCCTCATTGTACTCATGGAGCTTTACCTTCGTCAGCGAGGTAACATTTTCCGCTTGTTTATCGTTCCTTTTCTGCCTCTGCTCCTCGTCTCAGAATTATTTTTCAAACTTGATAACAGCCTCTTCATTCTTCTCTTTTGTTGCCTTGTTCTTGTTCTCCTTGCCTTCAGTGGTCTTTTGCAGTTTGGCATTGGGATGTGTGGGTGCGTAATCGTAGGCGTTCGGCACTCCAGTGTTGGCAGGCAGAGATCGGGGTGTTGGGAAACGGTTCATAAACAGCAGCCGAGAAAGAGCAAGGGCAAAGTGGAATGTTAAGTTGAAACACATGCTGCATTCAGAGTGGGCTGTGTGCAAACTAAGCCTTCGCTCCCTGGCTTTAGTGTGCCGCTGTACAGAGCTGTCTCTTTCTCCCTCTCAGACTCACCACCTCAAGGTTGTCTCTGTGTGCTTTCACATGGGCAGGAGCAGCGTTAGCACAGCCTGCTCACCATTTGCAAGAGGGTTTGTTTGTGTCCCCTGGCATTGGCTCCACTTGTTGCTTTCACCACTCAATCTGTTGCATTTAATAAACAGCACACATTGATTCACCCACACAAATCTGTTGGAAGATAAAACTATTTACTACCTCATGTGTATTAGATAGGATAAGCTGAACAGCTGTTGGATTGCAGGGACGACACTTATATGATTTAATACGTTTGACCCACCAAATTGAGATCCATAACAATGGTTAAAGTGAATTTCCTGATGACTTCATCATCAAAGTAAAATCAGTTGCTCTGAGCTAAGTCAGCGAGGTGTTCTCCCACCCCTCTTTTTTCCCCTCTCCTGGTGAAGAATGGATCTGAATTTAATGATGTTTGTAATGAAACGCAAATCCCAGACTAATTACATTAAAGAGCTGTGATCTCCTGCTCCGTGCCTTAGTGAACATGTCATGATATAGTAGAGATTAGAAAAGCCTCCAATTTAAAACCCCACTGTGGAGCAGCAGCTGCAGCTATCAGCTCTCTGTGTGGATGTGGAGTGTTTATCTGGGCCACGCATGGCTGCTGATGGCTGCGTTTTGATACTGATCACAGAGAGGATGGAAACTAGCTGAGAAACTTCACCAGCGTGCAACACCGTAAAAACAGCCGGCTAATTCATATTTTAGCAGTGTATTTATGCATACAAATAATATAAAAAAATAACAAAATGCATATCATTAGATAATATAAACTATGACAAATAAATAAATAATTTTATAAATAGTCTAGATAATTGGAAAAATAAAAGTTAGAATAAAAAAATAAAAAAAATAACATTTTTCTTTTACTGTGTTTTACAGACTCACTGTACATATATATGGTTGAACAACATTTAAAGAATTTACAAAATATAAAAAATAGATTAAAAAAACAACCATACAAAAGATTTTAGATATAATTATTCTATAATGCAGTACTTTGAAGCTGCACATAAACACACAAGTATAAATGTATCACTCACACAAATTCCAGCTCCGCCGTATTTAACATTCAGTTTCCGTCTGCCCTTCCCTCTTCTGTGGAACCTGTTGAGCCGCCCTCCCCCGGACTGATAATGACACTTTCCTTCAAACCTCCAATAGAGTTCAAGCGTCTGTCAGAAGCCATTAGAGGCAGAATATTTAGCGGCCTCAGTGCCCGGCGGCAGGCTGACAGGCCCTGCTGCGAGATCCTTTAGGGCCCCTAAAGAGTGGCCCTCCGCTGGGCCCGTAACGAGAGCGTCAGCCTGCCTCCCGGTGACAAAACTCCACACAGGCTGACACTTGAGATTAGCCGCTACAATAACGGCTATCGCACATCATGTCAGCGAGACAGTCTGCTTGTACCTTTCAGAAAAACGCAGTAATGACATGGAGCTCAAATCATTGACTTTTTCGATTAGTGTTGTCCTTGAAAAGAGAGGAGACTCTGTCACACTCACAGTTTTAAACTACATTAAATCCTTAATCCATTTACTTTTAACCTCCCATTTACATTCATAAGCACAGGAAGACACATTTTTCAAACCATTTCCTATTAATTGCAAACACCTTATTGGCTTCTTAAAAATTCAGAATCATTGAAAAAAATATCTCTGTAGTAATTTGTGTACACAGGAAATGCTGTTCTGCTTCTTTGGAGTATTTTGGATTGTAATTTCCCAAAATGTTTGAGAAGTTTTGTGTAAAATGACAGTCAAACTAAATGGGTCAAACAAGTCTAAGTATGAGATTAAATCAGAATTAAACAGAAATGGGAGTATCAAGTCAAACATAACGTATCTAAAACTAGAAATGTCCTCCTGAGAATTATATAAATGCCAACTGTAAACCACCCAAGAGCAGTTTAAACAGTAAAATATAATAAGACTAATCGGAAACAATAACCCTAATGACTCACATTTCCAAAAATATCCCATAACATCGACATCCATAAAGGAGAGAGCATCTTGTCTACAGAGACAGTTATTAGAATAAACAACTCATCAGCTAAATAAAGACAGATTGTATGCTTGGCTAAAAGCTCTCAGTCATTGTTTGCATGTTGGGCCCTGAATGACCAACACCTGATCTCAGCAACATTAGTGCCCTTTGTGGGCACTCTGATACCCATTGAACTAAACACCAGACCACAGCAGTTGGCGACCCGCTGAGACCCACTCTGCTGACATATTTTTGTTCGAGTTTTCTCCGGGTGTTTGGGCTACCTGAACTTCCCTTCAGTGTTCAACAGTCTGCATGAAATGATCACACTGTGGATTCGGCGCTCAACAGTAATCAACAGCAACAC